AGCTGTCAGCATAGAGCCCGACGTGGGGCTTAAACCAATGAACTATGAGATCATGACCTGAGCCGAAGTCAGATGCTTAACTGACTGAGCCACGCAGTTGCCCCCTTTCACCATTTTCTAAGTATTGAACAATAAAATAAGCCTTGGGTCCAAATTTTCACATAATTGGACTATAAACACTATTAAAACAAATAAATGGAATGCACTCTGGAACTGGTAACCCTTCTCCTGCATCCTGAAGAACAGTAATTAAAACAGGATAGTCTGACTGATCAAGGGCAAAAACAAAATTAAAATGAGAGAAACTTTACTCAAGGTGAAATAAAACAGCTAGAGAATATGATTGCACCTGTCCCCCTAACACGTATCCTATACTAGCCAATCTGAAATCTTTGCCATTAGAATCCCCTCTCAACAGGTTAGAAAGAACAGCAGACTCAGTGTCAGAAAACCCATGTTGTTAACTTGATCCTCTTTCTAACTGATTGTGTGACCTTAGTCAAGTTTGTTAGCATTTCCGTTTCAGTGTAATGAAGGAACTGTACACATCGACCTTGAAATTCTCTTATAAACCTAAATATTCATGAATCTGAAACACTGGAGCATGAGAATTACCCTACATTAGAAACCATTTTACAGAAATAATTTTAAAAGCATTCATATTCAAGAATTTCCAAGAACTTTACTGCTCACTCAAATCTTTCCTCAGCTCTATCTTGTCTTGGCTCAAAGGAGGTCCTCCTACTTAAAATTGAGATCTTTCCCTGACTGGTCCACCCAGTCTCCTTCTTCTGATCTGTTTCCCCCCATTAACACTGTCTACATTTTAACGTACTAAATCACTTATTTTTTTAAATTCTTTTGTCAATCTGCCTACCATCATTGAATATAAATTCCACCCAAGCAGGAATTTTTGTTTGTTTTGTTCATGGGCGCATGTCAACCTAGAATAGCACATGACGTAAAGTAGATGCTCAGATACGAGTGTTGAATGGATGAATGAGTGAATTCCTAATATCGACTTAAAATGAAACAGTCCTTGGTGTGTCTGGGTGGCTCAGTTGGTTAAGTGTTGCAGTTTGTAAGTTCAAGCCCCGCGTCGGGCTTTGTGCTGACAGTTCGGAGCCTGGAGCCTGGTTCGGATTCTGCGTCTCCCTCTCTCTCTGCTCCCCCCCTCAGGTTCTGTCTCTCTCAAAAATAAGTAAACATTGAAAAATAAAAAAAAAACCCAAAATATTCCTTAACTTAGTTTATAATTGTAAAAGCAGATCTAACCAACTATGCGTTGGTCTATTAGTACAATATTCCTTACACATGGAAGTGTATTTTAAGTAGATTTGTCCTATGAAATAATACAAAGCTTTAAAAAGAATAAGTAAGTGAGCATCAGCTCATTGAACTGATTTGACCTTGTTCCCAGGAGAGAGTTTATTTAAGATTGGACAAGTTCAAAGTCAATGAATCATAAAGCAATTAAAAAACTGAAAAGGAAGTGACATTTTTCATGAACTCTGCAAATTAACCATTTAAGGAAATGTTATCATTTTTATGTCAGGAATTCCTCAGTGCTGATGTATAAGGGCAAAAGGTTTGGCTGTTAAGTAAGACACTGATTAAATAGATACTGTATACTAGGATTGATCTAACTGAAGAAGTATTGAACTTCAGAGGAATTTCCCCTTAGGAATAATCTTCAGAACAAATTTGCTAAGCGCACGCAAAAATTGGCTCATTACCTGGTAGCAATATTTAATTTTTCAACTGAAACTTCTGTCAAGTAAGTCACTCACTAGTCTAATAATAATAACAAGAACCACGAGAATAGAAGTTAACGTTCCAGGTACTAAGCTAACTGCTCTCCATTCACTGTCTCATTTTACAAATGGGGAATTTCATTTGCAGTGAGAATAATTACTCCGTCAAAAGACCAGAACTTAAACTCAATCTGTTTAATGCTGAAGCCCACATTCTTCGCTGCAAGGTGAGGTTTCTCTTGTTTCTGAAACTTAAAATTTTCAGTCACTGGCAGAATTTGCTATTCAGGACTTTCAAAACATATTTCTGTAGACTCTGAAGACCATTTTTTAAAAAAAGTTCCAACTACTTTATTCCTTGGCAGACATCGATGAAATTGGTTCATAGCTTCCATTGGTATTGACATTGAAAAGGATGGCATTCATTTAAATGTAAAAGTTCAGCTTTGTTTGTAAAAAACAAAAACAAAACAATTGCACTGGGTACCAAAACTACACTAATAGTTTTCACCCCTGAAAATACACCCGCATAACTTGATGCACTTTGTGCCTGTTTGTCTTCCTAGCTTCAGTGTCTAGCAGAGCACCTGCCACTTACTAGTTGCTGTTTGCTTCCTAATAAGCAGCAAACTCCACTGAGAGGTGGATAACCAGAACC